ATGCTTGTGTGATTAGTGGCCCCCCCCCCGCCCATTCCTATGCTGAAAGCTGATCCTCATGCGGTAGCATCTGGAAGGGGGACCTTTGGGAGGTGATTAGATAATGAGGGTGCAGCCCTCGTGAATGGGATTAGTGCCTTTATAAGAGACCCCGGAGACCTCCCTCACCCTTTCCACCACGTAAGGACAGTGAGAAGGCAGCCACCTATGAACCAGGAATCAGGCGCTCACCAGACACTGAATCTGCCAGTGCCTTGACCTTGGACTTCCCAGCCTCCAGGACTGTGAGAAATAAATTAAAACAATTTTTTTTTAAATTTGAGTACAGTTGACACACAATGTTACATGAGTTTCTGGTGTACAACATAGTGATTCAACTTCTAGTTATGCTTTGCCCCCACAAGTGTAGCTACCTTCTGTCGTGTGCAATATCATGGACTATATTCCCTATGATGCACAGGAGAAATAAATTTCTGTTGTTTATAAGCCATCTAGTCTGGGGTATTCTGTTACAGGCTGAGACAGCTACCTCCCCACACTGCTGGATCTCCCCATCCTGGGCCACCTCCCCCTCCCCCACCCCCCTGGAGACCCCTGTCTTGGCCCACCTCTTCCTCCACGTTCTTAGGTCCCCTGCTCAGCCATACCCTTGACCTTCTTTCCAGAGCATCCTCTCCGAACAGTGAATTTCCTACTTTTAGCATCTTCTGGGTAGGCTGATTATTTCCCAAATCATCAAATTACAGCAACAGATCACCACAAACCTTTCGGCTTAAATTAACACATTCTGAAGGCCAAAAGTCAAAAATCAGAAGTTCACTGTGTCAAAATCAAGGTGTGGGCAAGGCCACACTCCCTTCGCATGTTCTAGGGGATTGTTCCTCGCCTCTCTCCTAGCTTCTGGTGGCTGCTGGCATTCCTTGGCTTGTGGCCCCGCTGCTCCAACATCTGCCTTCCCCTTCCCTTCTCCTCTCTGTGTGTGATCTCACTCGCCTCTCTAAGGAACACACTTGTGATGACATGCACGGCCCACCCGGGGAATCTGGGATGCCCTCCTCCTGTCGACATCGCAACTCACTTAAAAGGTGGATTAACAAGAGGCAAAGAAAGACCAAAAAAAAGAAGAAAACGAAGGGAAAGACCAATCATTAGTTGTGAATATTTGCCTTCTACTATTAAAACACTGGTGAGTTGTGAGAATAATTTTCTTCTCTTAGAAATTTGAAAACCGAATGCACTCTATGTCAGATTATGAATCAGGAATTAGAACGCTGTCAGTCTTCAAGAAAGGAAAAAAATCTGGGCCATACCAAGAAAAAAATAGCTTGTTTTGTCTGCTTTTGAAGAGAGTAACGTACACATTTAATTTACACACTTTGAAAATCAGACATTAGTACATTAACCATTAAGACATTTTTAAAAAGTAGTAATAAAGACAAAAAATCTTTAACTTAATCACATCCGCAAAAACCTTTTTTTTTTTTAAAGATTTTATTTATTTATTTGAGAGAGAGAGAATGAGAGAGAGAGAGCACAAGAGGGAAGAGGGTCAGAGGGAGAAGCAGACTCCCTGCTGAGCAGGGAGCCCGATGCGGGACTCGATCCCCGGACTCCAGGATCATGACCTGAGCCAAAGGCAGTCGCTTAACCAACTGAGCCACCCAGGCACCCTGCAAAAACTCTTTTTCCCAATAAAGTTGTAGTTACAGGTTCCAGGAACTAGGACATGCATGTATCTTTTGGGGGGCCATTTTTCAGTCTGCCATAGTCCCCTCAACCCAAACAGACCCTTTCTTCCCACACCCAGGGCTCCACCTGTTGTGTGCCCCATACCACAGATCTGCTCACAAAGGGACGTGGGTTCATTTCAGGAGGGGCCCAGGGTCCTGGGTGGCTTGGCTTGTGTGGGCAGCTGCAGCCAGGCTGCTCAGAGAGCCCCTAGCCTCCCCAGGGGAAGGGTATCAAAGCTCTGCTCTGTCCCAGGCAGGGCTTCTGGGTGCCCTGGAAGGTGCTGTGGCTGCAGTGTGGGAGCCTTGGCTTTCTCCTAGTGTCTCCTCTTTGTCCTGCCTCACAATGCTCCCCTTCTTGCATGGCTAAGGGTCCCCACAGGCTCCCAAGAGCACACCAAGCGGTCCCTGTTGGGGGGGCTGTGCCATGAGTGGGAAAGAGGCCTCCCAGAGGGTCTTGCCAAGTATTCAAGGGCCTTGGGGTCCTTTCCTTCCCTGACCAGAGCCTCTCCCCTTCTATCTATGAATTATCCCCACTAGGAGCAGAGTTGGGAGGGAGCTGCTTCCTCCAGCTCCTGCCCAGGGAAGCCTATTTTAGAGTCATAGGGAAGGTGGAGGGCTGACTTCTGAACCTTGGAGATTATAGACTAGAATCAGACTACTGCTAAGAAAAGTCAAGGGGCTGGCTGGCTCAGCCCCTGCTGGAGAGCAGAGAGGGGGGCCACTGCCCCACAAGGGTGGGCAAGGAGGGGTGACTGGTCTTCCTGTGGTCTCCCTGTAGCCTGAGTGGACTTTGAGCAGGATCTATTTGAAAAGCAAAGCAACCTCGTGGGGCACCTGGGTGGCTCAGGTCATGGTCTCAGGGTCCTGGGATCCAGCCCCACGTTGGGCTCTCTGCTCAGTGGGGAGTCTGCTTCTCCCTCTCACTCTCTCTCAAATAAATAAATAAAATCTTAAAAAAAAAAAAGCAATCCTGGCTGAACCGCAGCCTGGACATTTTGAAAAGCGCTCCCTCTGCAAGACAACCAGATGTAGAGTGAAGCACACATTGAATATCTGGCTGGGCTCACAACAAACAAGGCCCATGAGTAGTCTTAAGTGTGTGCTTTAGAATAGGGAAAGGCTGTAAAGGCATGAGCAAAGTGTCCTGAGTAAAAGTGTAGAAAAGAAACCATAGAATAAATGCAAAGAAAACAGAATGAGAAGGGGAAGAGCAGAAATTAAGAAAATAGAAACAAAGATACAAAAGGAATATCAAAGCCAAAAGCTGAGGTGCCCTGGGCATTAAGCAGGGCTCTTTGCTCAATGCTGGCCAGAAACAGGAGCCCCCCCCCACCACCACCGCCCCTGGCTGTAATGAATGAAGAAAGAAGCAGTGTAGGGACCAAGGGCAGTGAGCCTGCCCTAATATCCTGCCTCATCTGGACCAACGGAAAATTCTGCCAAGTATTTTGGTGGAGGTACTGCCAACGGAAAATTCTGCCAAGTATTTTGGTGGAGGTGCTGGTCATTGGGTTTCCATTCTATGTTTGGCAAAGGTGGGGCAGTTGCCAGGTGCGCAAAAAATAGGAGTCTCTAGGGCACAAGCCTCTCTAGCCTCCAGCTTCTCCCCATTCATTCATTTCCCCCCAAATCCTGACACATCTCAATGCATAAGACACTAATCATTATTCTTGTTTGACAGATATGGAAACAGGCTGGAAAAGGTGAAAAACAGCTGATGGTTCTCTCTCCACATCCCTCCCTTCTACACCTACCCCCACGCCCCGAAATGCTGGGCAGGCAACAGGCTGCCCTGTAAGGAGGTCACATTCGCCAAGGCTCCGGGTCACACCGGCAAAGGTGGCAGGAGATGCTGACTCAGCAGGGCGGGTTCGCCCACCCAGACAGCCCCTCCTGCTAAGCCGAGACGACCCACCCGCCCCACCCCCTCAGGAGCCCCCGTCTCCACAGGGGCTGCAGGAAGTGGCTGCAGCAAATGCCAAAAGGGCGAGTGATCCCGAAGGGGCCTCAGTTTCCCCATCTGTAAAACGGGGCCGGTTGCCCGCAGCTCTCGGATGCTGCGGTTTCCAGGGACCCACTCGCAGGTGCTCGCCCTGAAACCCCGGCCGGCTCCTGCAGCCGCAACGCACCCAGAGGCGAGGGGTGGGAGGGCTCTGCGGTCCCTTCAAGGCCCCAGCCCGGCCCCGCTTCCCCTTCCCAGGAGGGCAGCCGTAAGAAAGCAAAGGGCGCTTCAGCAGCCCCTCTGGGTCACCGGCTTCCCCGAAGCCGTCGTCCTCGCCTTCCGCGCTCGCATTCCACCGGCACGCCCAGGTCCCCGTTGGGGCCCGACACCGCGGGCTCGGGCGCCGCGAGGGCCGAGCGACGACGCAACGCGGCGACCGTCGCACTGACAGCGGGCGCCGGGCGGAAGGTGGAGGCGGCGCATGGAACGCGGGGCGAGCGGAGTGGCACCGAGGAGGACCGCCAAGGGACCGCCGGGTCCGCCGGACGCAAGCCCCGCCCCCACCCGTGAGGTCCCGCCCACCACGCCCGGAGCTCCGTCCCTACCGCAGTCCCGCTCTCGCGCTCTCTCCCGCGAGCCCAGCTCTGTCCCCGCCCCGCCGTCAGACTCCGCCTCTCCCCGCCCACAACCTGACCCGTCTTTGAATCTCCGCCTACTACCCGAGCCCCGCTCCTTTCCCGGCCTCCGGGAGGGGCCATCCGGGGCTGCCCGCCGAGAAGCCTAGGTGTTGGAGGCCTGGGTCCTCAGCTACGGCGAGCAAGCCCGGCAGAGGGGCGGGACAGCCTGGCACCTCCACTCTGCGCATCCTGCCGCTGGACACTTCGGGTCAGCGTGCCGGCGCCACCGTGTGGGCGAAATCTGAGACACGTGGTCTCTAAGGCCCCTTGTGTGTATGGAAAATTTTATGGTTCGGGACACAGGAGAAACAGTGCAGCGGCGCGGGAGGGCAGAAAGAGCCCGAGTCGCTGGCACCAGGGGTGGTACGGCTGTTTCCGCGGCCCTCCTGGACCCGATGCTATGACCCTTTTTCTGACACTCTGAAGGGCTCAATCTCTTTCGATTGGTTGCATGAGATAGAAGTTAATAAACACACATTCCGGACGACGCTGGGACCCAAAGTCCACACGACGAGTTCCTGCATTCAGCCCCGGGTCACCACCGAGAACGGTTATAGCTCATGTTCAGAAGCCGGGCATTTAAAAAGCGACTCCCAGACATCCCAGAGTGTGTTTCTGTGGCTCCCACGGGTGCGTGGAAACCAGGCGCCCGGGACGCACGCCTAGTCCCTCCAGGGCTGTTCCTTTCACCCCTCGGCGTCACTGTCACCCCTAGCAACCCTCGGGAGGTGGAGACCCTCCCCTTTAAGGGGAGCCTGATTCCCCGGCCGTCTTCGTTTCGCGCGCCCGCCCGCGGTGCCGGCGGAGCGAACATGGCCCAGGCTGCGCGGGCGCTGTGGCCGGTCGGGCACGCTCTGGCCTGGAGGCCGGGCGGTCGCTTCCCCTCGGGACTCTCCGCGCAGCGTCGGGCCGGCTTCGCGGGAGCGGCGGGGGGCCCGGGCCCCGCGGCCACCGCCCGCAAGGGGAGCCCGCGGCTGCTGGGGGCGGCGGCGCTGGCCCTGGGGGGCGTCCTGGGGCTGTACCACACCGCGCGGTGGCACCTGCGCTCCCAGGACCTCCGCGCCCAGCGCTCTGCCGCGCAGGTAAGCCCGGGCCGCACCCAGCCGCGGGTAGGGGTGCTGGGGTCAGCGCCGAACTTCGGGACTTATGGCGGGGTCAGGTATCACCTCTTCCGTCCGTTCGTGACCTTGGGCAAGTGACTTGGTTTTAAGTATCTGAACACTTAGCATCCTCATCTGGGCAATGGGGTCGCCACTGCTGCCTGCTAACTAGAATTGTTGTCTTCGTCTTAAGGTCGTTTTCTAACGTGTTTTTAGACTTTTTTCATGAAAAGATTTAGAGATTACAAGAAAGGGAAAGAAAGCCTCCTTCAGAGTTTATTACTTGGTAGACATTTTGTCGTCTGGAAAATAATAAACTTTCCGTAAACCCTCCCACCGTCTTCGGATCATAAGGTTATGTATTTGTTTATTAGTGTTAGTATTTTTAGGGAACCGATGACCCTTAGATTCCAGGCCCTGAGACAGAGAGGGGCAGGGAGGTGTCCCCTAGCCCGGTGATGGCACAGGTGCCGCCTTCCTGGGCTCAGGGGAACAGGGTGGTAGGAGGGGAGTGGAGTTCTCTGTATCTCTCTGCCCACCCCAGTGGTCCAGCTTCAGCATCCCATCTGAATAGTGAGGGAGGTGGACTGCCGCTGTGGCTTAAACATGAATATGCAGCGAGCTTACCTGGGGCTCACCTACTGAACTCGCAGATCCAGGCCCAAGGCCCAGATACAACCCTCCCCCCTTGGAGATTTGAGGTAGACCCCACTCTGGCAAATGCTGGGCTCTGCCCCCTCATCCAGAGGGTCCCTTGGGTAGAGGGAGTTTGGGTGGCACACCTGAGGGGGGTTGTGATGTCCTCTTGGGACAGGAAGGAGAGGAGAGGTGTCTGATGTTGAACAGAGACTGGAAGATTCATCCTACCCATACTTCCTGCCTGAGGAGGGTGTTGTATGGGCTCTTGAGGATGGACTGTGCACTGCACGAGCCTGCTCCCCACCTCCCTGTGTCTCCCTTTCTCTCTGCCACCTACCCCCCTTCCTCCTGATGTTCTCAGGACCATCCTAGAAGACTCCCTTGGGAGAAGTTTGCTTGGGGGTGGGGCCTGGGCACCAGGTCTCAGAAGCCCCCCTCCCTCTGCTCCCCGCCCAGCTCTCCCTGTCCAGCCGCCTGCAGCTGACCCTCTACCAGTACAAAACGTGTCCCTTCTGCAGCAAGGTCCGCGCCTTCCTCGACTTCCACGCCCTGCCCTACCAGGTGGTAGAAGTGAACCCTGTGCGCAGGGCCGAGATCAAGTTCTCCTCCTACAGGAAGGTGCCCATCCTGCTGGCCCAGGAAGGAGAGAGCTTGGTGAGCCTCAGGGAGCAACCCCCCACGTCCTGGGTTGTCCTGTAGTACCCCCGAGGCAGGCCCTGCAACTCTGAACAATGTGGGCGCTTTGGACCTTGGTGAGGATTATGAACCAGCTGGGCCCAAGGGAGGCAGAGCATCACAGAGCTCAACAGTGTGAGCTCTGAAATCAGGGTGGTCCAGGCTCAAGGTGGGGCTCTGCCATTCACTGGTTACATGACTTGAGGCCAATCACTTAGCCTCTCTGGGCTTGCTTCTTCATTAGTCAACAGAGGGCTATACTCTCCAGTGGCAGGGAATGCTTGGCCCAGTCCTTGGCTCCTAGCGTGTAGCTTCTAGAGTCCACCCTGCCCCCGCCAGTGCTTGGGAGGCCAGGCAGGTGAGTGGGCAGGGCCCAGAACTTAGGTCCTCCCCACACCCTCCTTCACATTAGCCACACTTGGGTCTCCCTTACTCGGGATGGGCCTGAGCCAGGAGGCTAGGTTCTGTGGGGCGGGGAAAGCTCTGTCGGCATCGATTTTGGGGATGAACCCCCAGCAATGGACAAACAATGCCAAGGTTCTACCGGACCAGTTTCCTCGAATGCCTGGGTGTTTATTTTTAAAGAACTCTGGTGACCCTGCTGGTGGCTGCAGGACCCACTTCCCCAATTTAAACCACCCTCTCGTCTTCCAGCAACAACTGAACGATTCCTCTGTCATCATCAGCGCCCTCAAGACCTACCTGGTGTCCGGGTAAGGAGCCACTATAGGCCCAGGCTGGTACTGCATTTCATCCCTTTTATCTCCCGGAAGGCCTCCCCTCGGTTCCCCCAGGGGAGCAGGGTGGGCATGGTACTCTGAAATACCCCCTTCCTCTCCTCTGCACATCTCCCTCTGTTAGGGAGATGCTTCTGTGTTTGCCTTAAGTCCCTCTTGCTGCAGGACCTCCTCTGACACCTACAAGAGGCTGGAAAGCTTTCGTGGGTTGGTCATGGTTCCCCTCCGGAGCTGGGTCAGGTCAGGGTAGACATCCACCCCAAGCAGGCGACGGCTCAGCCTCCCAGAGGAAGAACTAGTTGGGGTGAGACTCTGGCTGTCTCCCAAAGGCAGCCCCTGGAACACATCATCACCTACTATCCACCCATGAAGGCTGTGAATGACCAGGGGAAGGAGGTGACCGAATTCTGCAACAAGTACTGGCTCATGCTGGATGAGAAGGAGGCCCAGCACATGTATGGTGGGAAGGAGGCCAGGGCGTAAGTGAGGCTGGGGCAGGTCCCTGGAGGTGGCAAGGGCAGGGTCTTCCCAGGGGTTGGGGGAGAGGCTGAGCGAGACCCTGTGAAGGGGGACCAGTGTGGGAGACCAGGAGGGCTGGGGCCACGGCCAGGGCTGAGTCTACTTCAGGAACTCCTACTCAAGCCTCAGCTTCCCACCCATACGCTGTGCGGTCTAGACAGTGCACCTGCTCCCATAGCTCCTGGGCCCTGACTTCGGCAGCCTACCTGCCCTGCCCTCTGTCCCCACCTTGTCCACAGGGAGGAGATGAAGTGGCGGCAGTGGGCGGATGACTGGTTGGTGCACCTGATCTCCCCCAACGTGTACCGCACTCCTGCCGAGGCCCTGGCCTCCTTTGACTACATCGTCAGGGAGGGCAAGTTCGGGGCATTGGAGGGTGCCGTGGCCAAGTACATGGGTGCAGCGGCCATGTACGTCATCAGCAAGCGGCTCAAGAGCAGGTGACGGCGCTCGTGTGTGCGTGTGTGTGTGTGTGCGCCTGGGGGCCTGCTCTCCCCAAGGCCCTAGTCTAAAGCCACGCCGGGGGCTCGAAGTCTGAACTCCCGATTGCCTCCACCACCCCAGGGGAAGCGGACTGGCCTGGATGTCTGCTCTATGCCTTCCTCTGTTGCTTTCTCGTGGTGAGGTCTCTGGTCCTTCTTTGGCCATGGTCTCCCTGTCTGGGGCAGATGATAACTGATTTTTGCAAGTGTGATGCCCCTGGGGGAGCCGCCCCGGCCCCCTAGCCTTCCTGTTTTCCCAACCTGGGTGGAGGGTTCCCCTGATGGACTTCCCCCTTCCCCACCAGGCACCACCTCCAGGATGACGTCCGTGAGGACCTCTATGAGGCTGCTGACAAGTGGGTGGCGGCCGTGGGCAAAGACCGGCCCTTCATGGGGGGTGAGAAGCCGAACCTGGCTGATCTGGTGAGTCTAGTGCGGGCAGGGTGTGCCCAGACTTGAGTGGCCTGTCTGGGCAGAGGAAGCCCACATGTAGGCAATACCTACATCTCCCAGCTTTCCCGCTCTGGAGGCACCTGGCTCCATCCAAGGAACTGTCTTGGTTCACATCATTGACAGGTTCAGGGGAGGCGTTGGTTTCAGGCCCAGCTGGATCCAGGGGCCCAAGTGGCAGTACCAGGGCTCGGCCTCACCTGTTGCAGCTCAACCCCTTGGAGTTGCTTGTACCCAGCGAAAGTCCTGGGACAGTATCTTGTTGGCCTGGCTTAAATGCCAAGCCTTGAAGCAATCCTTCAAGCCAGGGTGGAATATGTTGTTCGCCAGATCTGGGTCTTAGAGCTGATGGGGGTCCCCTCTTCTCAAATCTCAGGACCTGAGAGTGGGGCAGGACATTTTCCCGAAGGAAATTCTGCAGGTGGAGTTTGTTGCCCCGACGGTTCGGGGGTGCAGGGCAGGCAAAACCTACAGAAATCCCACACACTTCACTCAAAGCCCCAAGTGCAAAATTGGCCATTTAGTGAGCTCTCTCAGAGAGGGGAGGTGAACGGGCCCCAGGGCACACAACCCGTGGAGGACGGGGCAGGAATGGACCCCCCTCTGACCCCTCCCCCAGGCAGTGTATGGCGTGCTGCGCGTGATGGAGGGCCTGGAGGCTTTCGATGACCTGATGCGTCACACCCGCATCCAGCCCTGGTACCTGCGGATGGAGAAAGCCATCGCTGAGGCCCCCCAGTGACCTGAGTGTCCCGGGAGGGGTGGAAGACAGCAGAAGACGCCGGCTTCCGGGGACCAGGACCGCTGGGTCAGCACTTGATGCTGTGCAGTGGGGGACGGGACCGTTCTGCCTCTCGCCTGCCCCCACCCCTCCAGCCACCCCGCCTCCGGCTTCTAGCACTGGACACCTGCTGAGGCCCTGGGACACGGGGGGACAAAAGCCAGGCTTGATTTGTGTTCACAGCCCCCCTGAGGGGCACAGAAGGCTATCCCTCAGCCCCAGGTGGCTGACCCACCCCTGCCCCGTGTCCTGGGCCTCCCTGCGCTTCAGCTGTTCTCTGGGACTCTCAGTGGCCTGCTCTGTCCACACCCTGGGGGTGGGAATTGGGTCAGGCTCCTGCCCTGGACAGGGGAAGTAGGAATAGTCTGGTTTACAAAGGATTTCATCCCTGGCTCCTCCTGGTTTCGGCTCTTCCCAGTGCCCCTAGGCCTGGGTGTCATGTTTGCAATAAAGAAAAGGTTTGCTGAACCCTTGGAGGCGGTGCTGTCGTGGGGTGAGTGCTGTGTGTGACTGCTGGTTAGCAAAGGCTTCAGAGCGAGGCCACGCCCGGCCCTGCTGGTAACTACTGTTTGTCCAGTGCTCACTGGGTGTCAGGCCTGGGGTGAAGGACTTCGCAGGCTTTGTGTCACAGGGACCCCGGGACACCACCATAGGATAAGCAGCAGGGAGGCCTGAGGTGTCCCAGGATTCGGGTCCAGTTGTGCCCCTCACTGGCAGTGGGACTCTGGGCAGTGATGTCCCTCTCTGAGCCTCCATATCCTCATCCGTCAAATGGGTGTAATGATAGCCTCCCCTTCAAGGGGAAATCGCGAGGGTCTGAGCATGAGATGCGGGGCAAGGGTAGAGAAGGACGCCCAGCTCAGAGCAGGGGCTCGAGTGGCTCCAATCCTGCTCTACACGCCGGGGGAGAAGGGTTCCGAGAACCTCTGAACCTCTGAAGCAGGTGGGCACCCGGGCTTTGGTCCCAGGCCTGGGAAGGGGACCCTGAGACAGGGAAAAGTCAGCTCTGGGAGCGAGGGGGCGCTGTGAGTGGAACCCCGTTCAGAGCAGAGCCCCCAGGGTCGGGGTCCCTGTTCCCCTGGTTCCCATAGATGAGCACAGTGGCCTCCAGAGGCCCAACAGGTGGCTAGTGGGCTGAACTCTACTCGCTGGACTCTCCCATTGCCCCAGACCTCTCGAGAAAGTCTTAAATTTTTATTTTCTTTATTAATATTTTTAAAACAAAAATAATTCACGCTCCTTGTGATGGTAAACATTCAAATAAGGTAGAGGCCTGGCGAGCACTCTGGAGGCCAACAGCCTAACGTTTGGAAGCAGCGGCCTCCGTTTCTCTTGCGGAGCCGGTGGGCTACCTGCTCGTTCTCGTCCCCGTCACGGGCGCCTGTCCGCGTGGGCATATGTCACGCTGGCTCGTTCTTCACAGCTGCAGAGTGCTTGGCTGCAGGCATGCGCCAGAGCCCACCGGCCTGGAGCACCAGTGTGTCCGGAATCTCTTCTCCCAAATCACTCAGGCCTTAAGTCCTGAAAGACCTTTGCTCCAGGGACCTGGGGTGGCCTGTGGATCCCAGAGCCTGCCTCAGCAGGAGAGGCACCCGCCTGCACCCTCTACACCTTCTCCACCATAGGGTCTATACTAGGACTATACTAGCTAGACCTCCCAGTGACTGGGGCTGAAGAATGGCTAGTCAACCCAAGGCCACCAGGGGACACCGATCGAGCGTGCTTCTTTCACTGAGTATCCCCCTCTTCCATCCCAGGGGACAACCCTGCCTCAGTTTCCCCAGATGTTCCTGGGCCAGCCCCTGGGTGTATTTTCCCATAACCACTAGAGGGCAGTAGAGAATGCGAAACAAGGCCTCATGCTGCCACCTTGTAACCAACCAACTTAAGCATTGCATCTAGTCGGGACAATCTTTGTTCTTTAGGGACTGTATTTGCCCACCGGTAAAATGGGTTTAGCCAGTGAGGGGTCCGAAAATGGGCAGGCAGGGAAAGTCACACCTCTCGGCAGAAAGCGCCCCAAGGCAATAACCTCTGCCCCATCTTTGGTCACGCTCAGATCAGGATATGTGCCTGTGGCCTTGATGGCCGTAGAAGGCCGGATGGGGGAACCCTGTCAGTACCCGCTGTGACCTTGGGCAAGCCCCATCTTTGCTCATCCTTGAGCAAGCCCTTGAAAGTCAGTTAACCTTCCCGGGTTGGTGTGGTCAGAGATGGAAAGACTGCGCAGAGTCGATGCGCACAGTTGACATGTGGTGGGTGTTTTATGCAGCCAGTGGGGTCTGCTGTCCTCAGAACACACTCCTTGCTCTGTTCCCAGCTGGGCTCCCAAAGCTCACGGTCAAGAGCTCCAGGAAGCAAGAAGAGAGGAGTCGTGAGAACAGCGAGATCCTTCTGCCCTGGGAGTGAGGGAGGTCTCCCTCGGGAGGGCAAGCCACGGCTGGGGCTCCAAGAATCGGGGGAATTCTGCTTTGCTTTTTTCTGTTTGTTGGGTTGTTAAATTTTTAAGATTTCACTTTGATTATGCAAATAATGTTTATTGGACATGAATAAAACTTTCAGGTAAGTAAAAAGATGATGCCAATTATTTACAATCCCACCAACCTAGAGATAGGACCACTTAAAAATTTTTGGAATACAGGGCGCCTGGGTGGCTCAGTCGTTAAGCGTCTGCCTTCGGCTCAGGTCATGATCCCAGGGTCCTGGGATCGAGTCCCACATCGGGCTCCCTGCTCCACGGGAAGCCTGCTTCTCCCTCTCCCACTCCCCCTGCTTGTGTTCCTGCTCTCGCTTTCTTTCAAATAAAGAAAAAAATCTTTAAAAAAATTTTTTTTTGGAATACAGCCCTTCTAGATTATTTTCTATGCGGCTTATAGTGCATATATGTGTGCGCGTATATATGTATTTGTATAAACAATACATATATATATACCAGTTAGATGGGGCCTATTTTATGGCAAGCATTGTTTTAAACACTCTATATTTTACCTTATTTAATCTTTGCAACCCCATTTTACAAATGAGCAAACTGCCATCAGAGAGGTTAAGTGACTTGCCCAGGGTCACACAGCTAGTAAGTGGCAGACGTGGGATCTGAACCCAGATCTTCTGGCTTCAGCATCTGCAGCTTAACACATATCTTATTGCTCCTCTCTCTCTCTAGGTAAGTTTTTCCTTTTTTTAAGTAAAAATTTGGATCGTATAGGACGCCTGGGTGGCTCAGTCGGTTAAGTGTCTCTCTTCGGCTCAGGTCATGATTCCGGAGCCCTGGGATTGAGTCCTGCCTCAGGCTCCCTGCTCAGCGGGGAGCCTGCTTCTCCCGTTCCCCCCTGCTCGTGCTCTCTCTCTCAAATAAATAAAGTCTTAAAAAACAACAACAACGACAACATCACAATCCCTTGTAAGAGGGAGGTGTGACTCCAGAAGAGAAGATGCGAAGCAGAGCCTGGGGGGATTTGAGAAAGGGCCAAGGAATGCTGACGCCTCCGGAACCCAGAGGGGCAAGGAGATGGCCTCTCCTCAGGGGCCTCCAGAAGGACCCAGCCCTGCACACACCGTGATCTCAGCTCAGTGAAATTGAGTTCGGACGTCCAGCCTCTAGCCCCGGAAGAGAACAGATTTGTCTTAAGACCCCACATTTGTGGCACTTGGGAACACCTGCCATAGGACACTAATTCACTTGACCTAAGCCAGTGTGGTCGGGGAAGAGAGTCGGCTACAGGGGGTCTAGTGACCTCGGGCGAGCCCCTTGTCCTGTCGGTTTCCTCCTCTGGAAAATGAGGGGTGGGGCTGGGCTCTTTGGGGTGGAGGGGGTGCCCCGCCCTGGCCAGCGAGGGTGGAGTCAGCCCCCTCTCTGGACAGCATCTCCCACTGCTGTGGGGAGATAAGAGGCCGCGTGGCTGGGCCACGGCCAATGGCCTAAAGAGATGGCTGGCGGCTGCCCAGCCAGCGGCCATTCCAGGAAGCCACGAGCCGGAGGCCCAGGTCTGTCTTGCCCCCTCGGGGGGACAGGCCTCTCGCCCTCCCTGCCCCCAGTTTACACATCCTGGGTTCTTGCCTGGCCTACCCCATTGTAGCTGGCCCTGGCCAGTCTTTCCAGCCACTGTGACCAGGCCTCGCTGGTTTGCTCCAGCTTCCTCATCAGCCCCAGAAGGCAGGGACCAAGGTTCACAGCTGGGCAGCTGGGCCCAGCACACCGGTGCTCCCCTCGCCCTTCCCCTACATTCCAACCTGCTCAGACCGGTGAGATTGGGATTGGGGGCGGCCCAGTTGGGAGCCAAGGTTGAGAACATGGCTTCAGAGTCAACAAAGCTGGTTTGAATCTCAGTTCAACATTTACTTGGCCTTCGTATGAACCCGGACAAGTCCCTCCCCGCTCTGAGCTCTCAGGAAGGTACTGTGCCCACCTTGAGGAGGTTCAGAGATGCATGAGATTTGCCCAAGATCACACAGCCAGGTGCCAGGATTCAAGCACAGGCCTGCGCAACGCTTCCCAGGCTCTCTGTGGCCTCTGGGCCCAGGAGAGTAGCCAGAAACCGGGTGCCACCTGTCTAAGGTGAGGCAAAGAGCTCCTACTCCTGGGTGAAAGTCCCCACAGGTGGATTGAAGCATGGTCCCCATCTCCTGGGCCTCCTGGTGGGCAGCGCCAGCAAAGCCCAGGGGTCTGCTGACCTGCAACTCAGGCCTTGTCATGTACTCATTCTGAGGCCCTGGGCAAGTCACTTTTCCCTCAGCCTTACTTTCCTCATCTGTAAAATGGGGTCATGGTGGCAGGAACACGTCCTGTGTGTGCCCCAGCCGGTGATGTCCCTCAGGATTAGAGGTGGAAGGAGACACGAAGAGAATTCGCCAGATCCTGTGGCACAAAGGGCTCCCCCACCCCACCCCCAGGTTGGCTATGTTCAGATGCCAGAGACCCCGGGCGTGCATGAGCCTTCTGACACTGGAGGCTGGAACGACAAGCACTGAGGGTGAAATTGTGCGTTTGGAATCCTGGATGGGGAAGGGGAGCTGGGTTTTAAGCACCAGTCCTTTCAATTTCCGGTCTCATTTCAACGTTTTTTAAAAAAATTATTTTTTAAATTTGAGTAGAGTTGACACACAATGTTACATTTCATTCCAATTTTTAAAAAAATAATGTATGCCTCACATTCTTTTAAGATTTTATTTATTTGAGAGAGGGAGAGAGCGTGTACATGGGAGTGGGGGAGGGGCAAGGAGACTCACGCTGGGCTCAGAGCCCGACGTGGGGCTCAAGCTCATAACCCTGAGACCATGACCTGAGCCTAAATCAAGAGTTGGACACTTAACGGACTGAGCCACCCAGGCACCCCACATTCTTCTTTTCTTTTTTTAAGATTTTATTTTTAAGTCATCTCTACACCCAACGTGGGGCTCAAACTCACTACCCTGAGATCAAGAGTCACAGGCTCCATCGACCAAGCCAGCCAGGGGCACCTCATTCCGACTTTCTAACAGCCCTCCCAGGCAAGTCTTAATTCTCTTCGTCTAATGGACAAACAGGCTCAGAGAGGTGGTGTGACTTGCCCAAGGCCACACCTCGGCCACAGCGGGATGTGGGCAGGGATTTCCAGTGTCCCCGTGTCCATCCACGGAAAGTCAGACAGGCTTTCTGCAGCTTCCACAGCCCCCGTTCCCCAGACTGCTCCAGGCTCTGACCTCAGAGGAGGCGGCTGGACGCCATCTGCGAAGAGCTGAGGGCCTGAGCGGGTCCCACGGTGCTTGGCTTCCTGGAGGAGCAGGAGGCGTCGGCTGGCGCTTCAGGGCCAGCCGCCTACTCACATGGGCCAGGGGCTGGGCCAGAGCCCATCCCGTCCTGGGTCTTGAGACACGCCTCCTCTGCACTATTCCCCCACATCCCCCACCCCCAAGGTGCCCACTGGTCAAATACCCCAACCCAGTGGGAGGCTCTTCTCAGCCAAGATGGAGAAAGGGCAGAGCTAAAAAAGTGTGTTTGTTTCCTGCTGCCGATGTAACACGTTAGCACGGACAATAGTGACTGAACCAATATGGGAAATTATCTTACAGTTCTGGAGGTCAGAAGGCTGACATGCGTCTTACTAGGCTAATATCAAAGTGTCAGCAGGGCCGTGTTCCTCCTGGAGACGCTCAGTGGAGAATCCACTCCTCATCTCTTCCAGCTCCTAGCGGCCGCCCACATTCCTGTGACTTGTGGCCCCTTCCTCCATCTTCAGAGCCAGTGACCTCAGGCTGAGTCCTTCCTGTGCCTTCTCCCTGCTCTTCCTGCTCCGTCTCCCCCACTGAAGGACCCATGTGATTACATGCGGCCCACAGGGATAATCCAGGATAATCTCCCTATTTTAAGGTCAGCTGATTAGCAAGCTTGACTGCCCTGTGCCATGTAACCTAATCCACAGGTTCTGGGGATTGGATGGGGACATCTTTGGGAGGCGACATAATTCTGCCTACCGTACTATGGAACATTTGCTTGGGAGAGCAGGCTCAGGGTAAAGGGGTCCGCTTGCCAAGACCTGATCGTTGGGAAATGGTTTCTGCGTGTTACCCTGGCAACGAACAGCTGAAGCGGGTGGCATATTAGTTTCCCCGGGTGGCCGTTAACAAATCACCACAAACTTAGATGACCCCAAACAACAAACCTTCATTCTCTCATAGTTCAGGAGGCCCAGGGTCTGGAATCCATGTGTTGGTGGCGTTGGGCCCTTCTGGACGATCTGAGGGAGAAACTTCCTGCCACTCCCCTTGCTCTGGGTGGCCCTCTGCAATCCTTGGCGTTTCCTGGCTTGTAGATGCAAGCCCTGTGGTCACATGGCCTTTTCCCTTTCTCTTCTGGGCATGTCTGTCCAAAGTCCCATGTTCTAGGACACCACTCATTGGACTTGGGGCTCACTGTAATCCAGTGTGACCTCACTTTAACTTGATTACATCTGTAAAAGCCCTATTTCCAAGTGAAGCAACATTCTGAGGTTCCCAGGGGATATGAATTTTGAGGAGATGCTATTTGACCCAGTACAAGTGGTATATACCAGTTTCAAACCTAGGCACACTTCTGGGCCTCCCTTACAGCCTCTGAATGTCACAGCCCCCTCCCTGGTGGGTTCCCCAAGCTGCTTCCTACTCTCCCCTGCTGCCCTGACCCGTGGTACTTGGGGCCATCAGGGGACAGAATGTAGATAGTCTGTTTTGTTTTTAATGAAAACAGCACCCCGCACTGTCTTAAGTGCTGGAGATACACCACAAATGTATTCGCTGCCCCAGAGGCCTCACCCTCTCCTGGGGAGATAGGCAGAAAGCAAATCAAGAATGTCAGGTGTGGGGATGTGGGGGGGACGCCTGGGTGGCTCAGTCGGTTGGGCATCTGCCTTCGGCTCAGGTGTCATGATCCCAGTGTCCTGGGATGGAGTCCGCATCGGGCTCTCTGCTCAGCAGGGTGTCTGCTTCTCCCTCTCCCTCTGCCCCTCCCCCACCACTTATGTGCTCTTATTTTGTCTCTCAAATAAATAAAATCTTTAAAAAACAAAAAAAGAACGCCAGGCGGGAGGCCCTGCAACATCCCTAGGTGTGCAAGTGTGCACCGGTGAGGCTGGGGAGGGGGCAGCCCAGGAAGGGACAGCACACAGCCTCCGCAGAGGCCTCAGGGGTAGGGAGTGATCAGCTCCGTCCAAGACAGACTCAACTGGAGGAGGGCTGAGGAAGAACCACTGGGCTCACAACTCAGGGGGGCTCTGGTGATCTGGGGCAGAGCATCCCAAATCCTACAAATATCTACTTTCAAGAGGGAGTGCTTCTGAGAAGCCCAGAGGGGCTAGCTTTCTCATTTTCTCTGATGACAAACATGGATTCATCTTCTAACATGCAAACGCCCCCTCCCCCACCACCCAAGCCCATATCAGATAAATCATGGCTCCGTCATCAGCTTTGAAACAACTTTATTAGAAGGCTGTTTTAAGTGACAACTTCCAATTCTTTGCTTTTTCACAAATTCCAGTTATCGCTGGACTGATATATAACAGTAATTTTTGCATTGATCTTTGCATTCTATTTGCATTGTCCTCACTAGGCCATTATGGTGGAGTGGAAATGCGACCCCGAGTCGCAAATCGACCAGCGTTGCTGAGCAGGGGTGGCGGCAGCAGGCGGGGGGGGCCTGGGAGGGAGGGAGGGAGCCCACTTCACAGGCAGGGGCGGGGTACTGGCCGCCCTCTCCTGGAGCCCCAACCCCAAACTCACAGTGATAGGCCCCTCAGTGCCTTGTCATTTGAAAGGATAAAATAGAGAGATCCTCCCAGCCCAAGAAATGGTTTGGACTTACATCTTCAATGGAATTGAGATTTCTGCCACTCTTCCTGCCCCTTATTGAACCCTCAGATCCTAAGGCTTCCTGGGTGCGAGCCCTGTCTCAACCTGCCCAAGGTCATCCCCCCTGACCAGGGCCCCTCCCCCCCTGACCTTTTATCTGTCGCCAGTTCCCAGGAATTTCTTTGGACAGACTTGACGTCAGTGTGGCCAGTGGCGGGAAAGGTCACTCCCACGGCCCCTCCTTCCTCTCCCCACCCCGCCTGGAGGGTGTTGGGAAGGTACAATCAACCATGAACATAAATATGAATACAAAATGAACTTGAAAATGACAGGCTATTAATTAAACAAATCTATAAAAATAGTTAGGACATAACTCTGTTCAAATAAATACGAAATAAATAGGCTCCAAGCAGTGTGACACCCTGCAGCAGTGGAATGTGAGGCTGGTCCCCACTCTGCCCCAATTGGGATTGGACACGAATCCCCAGAGGCTTGGAAACAGACTTTAATGAAGTCAGCCAGGCTCTCTACCCCCTTTGTCTTCCCTCTGGAAGCACAGAACGTACACATTTGTCCAGCTTGTCGTTCTGAACAAAACCCTTTGCCCAACGATACATAATTAAGGCCCTGAACACCTTTTCCTCCTCTCATCAGGGTGCGCAGACGCGGGGCAGGGGCTGCCCTTCCTGCCACTCCGTGGTGCCCGCCCGGCTCTCATTCCACAGCGGGGACAGGGAGGTGGTTCTCAGCTGGCGCCAGTCCTGATGGAGTCTGGGGCCAGCTCAGAACAGCAGGACGCCCCTGGCGGCAGGAGCAGCGAGGCCCTCTGCATTGCGGGAGCCATGCACCGGGAGGCCAGGTGGGCAGCCAATGGAGGAACTTGGCCTTGCCCCCTGCATGCACACGCACATCCGGGGGCCCATCTGTTGGGGAGCTCAGAGGCCAACAGCGGGGCTCAGATGAGGTTGAGCACAGAAGCCGGACTCCTCCCTCTCCCCCCGCACAACCTAGCCAGAGGGGACCCTGTAGGCCAGGAAGCCAGGGCGTGAGGCCCCCACGGACCGAGGGGAGAGGAGCGAGCGCTAACATGGGGAGAGGGCTGGTGGCCCTCCTCCTACCATACTAACACAGCAGCGAGGAAGGAAGCAAGGCGGGCACGGGGTAGGCGCCCAGCAGGCCAGGGGGCAGGGCCTGAGGCTGGTGGTCTGGCAGCGAGATGGAAGAACGAAGCCGGCTCCGGGCCCCACTGTCCGGCAGGCACCGCGGGAAATGTCCCGTCGCCGCGTGCGTGTGCCCGTGTCCTGCTGGCCCCTGGAACGGATGTGCCGGCCAGCCAGGGTCAGCAGGACACACCCGGTGGGCCTGCCGGGCCTTGCCCCACTCCCTTGCAGGTGCATCCCAGGCTTTTCACAGCTTGGCTTCAGTCAGCTTAGTGTTGGCACATTCACAGAATGGATGGCTACATATCCCAGGGCTGCAGGCCCAGGATCCGTGAGTCTGCCGCGCAAGGCGGGGCCCCCCCCCCCCCCCCCCCCGCCAGTCCCATCACCGCGACTGCACGCCCAGAGTGATCTTCAGGTTCTCGTATACCACGTAGCTGATGCTCACGGCTGGGATCACCTTCATGAAGTTGGGGGCCAGCCCCCGGTACAGGCCAAAGGCCCCCTCGGTCCGCAGGATCTGCCTGAAGAGGCTGCTCATGGTCACCTCCGGAGCGCCCTCAATGGAGGCTGTCGTGAGAGAGGCACCCATCGGGGCTTTACCAGCTCCTTCCTAGAGCCCAACCTGCCCGGGGAGATGGGTCCCTGGGGACTGGCCCAGCACCAGCATTACCTTGGGCTTGCATCCGGGTCCTGACCAGGGCCAGTGGGTAGCTGGCCAGCTGGCCGCACGTGCTGGACATGGTGCCACAGGCCAGGAGCACAAACACACCAGGGTCCGCGCTATTGACTGCGTAGCGCTGTAGCCAGGCGTTCTTGAGCGTCTGGCAGGGGAAAGGGGGACAGGGATGAGGCAAAGTGCCCGTGAGCCCCAGAAAAAGCTTATGAGGCAAGAAGAGACAAGGGTCTGGGGGTGGGGGCATAGTTATTGGATCCGCACAGGAGGCATCTCCTTGTCACATGGGATCCTCGAGGCTACCGTAACCTGATTCGCTTGGCCTGCCTGCCCTTTGTTTCTGCTGTCACTGGGGATTCCTGGATAGGACAGGGAGTGGGGATGAGGCAGGAGCAACACCCACCTCCCCACCCAGAGAGCCTGACTTCTGTGGTCTGAAGTCTGCTGGGGGCCCAGTGAGCTCTCCTAGCATCGTAGTCTGGTGATCTGCCCACTTGAGTCCCTGAGGCTGCAGAACCTGGGGGCTGCCAGTGCCAGGCAGCGTGACAGGAGACCCTTGCAGAGAACAGAGGAGTCTGGAAGGAGACACGCTTTGTTCCTTGTTGCAGCCATCCCCCAGTGTCTATCAGGGAGTGAGAACAGGAAGGGGCCTGGCTAGGAAGGGTTTCTGAATCTCTGCTACTGAGTCAAGGAGCCTGAGCCCGCTAGGGCCTCACCTCGTAGACGGCTAGGTCTATCCCAGCGTAGGGGATGATCCCCAGCATGTTGGGAACATAGCCTTTGTAGAAGGCGGCTATTCCCTCTCTGGCCAGGATCTTCCTGGCACAGTCCAGCATGCCTGAGTACTGGCCTGTCTTGCGCAAGGCCATCCGGGTCTTCAGAACCTGGAGAACCCAAAAGGAGCGATGGGAGCGTGAGCACGGCCCACTCCTCACCCTCACCCCATGCGCACTGCCCACTCTAGGACCAAGGCAGCCCTCACCTCCATCGGGTAGATGCTGCTCTGGGCGATGGCCCCGGCCAAGGACCCTGCCACAAGTCTCTCGTGAATCCTCAGAGTCTCCTGGTCACTCCCCACGAGACGCTTGATCTAGAAGAGAGAGCAAATGAACGGATATACCCCCGAGACCAGCTCCGCTGCCCCTGCCCCAGGGTTCCTCCCAGATCCAAGACCTGGTGTCCCTGGCACATCTGACACTGTCCAGAAATAGAAGGAACTGGCCCACGCTGGGGCTGGACCCAGCCACCTGCCTCTTCCTGCTGTCCCCTGGGTACAGTGACTGGCTCCAGCTTCCAGGGCATCAGCAGGGCAGGGACCTCTGCCCAGGGAAGCTCAGGAAGCAGCTGACGACAGGCGCCTCGCCTGGGGGAGTGGGGTCCTCACCTGCTCGTAGGCCATGAATTTGATGGCTGACTCGGGGGCAATTTTGAGGACGTTGATGCCGTTGCCCCGCCAGAGGGATTTGGCCCCACCTTCTCGAATCATCTGGGTGAACCCGCCCACGATGCACATGTTGTTGCTGCGGGAGGCGTGGACCTGAGGAGGGAAGGACGAGTGGTCAGAAAGAAGCCTGTGGCCAGTGGGCGGCCAGCATGGGACAGAGAGCCTCTACTGCAGGCCTGCACATCGGGGTCAGCAGGCAGCTCTCCCCTGTCGGGGTTCTGAAGGGTAACTCGGCACCTGGAGAATCCAACATGGCTACCCTCGCTCTTCACGGTGCACCTACGGTGTGCTAACACTGCGCTAAACACCCCTGCAGCTACTACTTTAACCACCTTTTTCCTTTTTTTTTTTTTTTAAAGATTTTATTTATTTATTTGAGAGAGAGAATGAGACAGGGGAGGGTCAGAGGGAGAAGCAGGCTCCCTGCTGAGCAGGGAGGGAGCCCGATGCGGGACTCGATCCTGGGACTCCAGGATCATGACCTGAGCCGAAGGCAGTCGCTTAACCAACTGAGCCACCCAGGCGCCCCCCCGCCCCTTTTTCAATTGAGCTTTTTACTATGGAAAATTTCAAACGTACAAAAGTGCCGAGAGTTATATACTGGGCTTTCCTGAACCCATAACCAGCTTCAACCATCATAAAACCACGGATCACTTTAAACCCCATCCCAGGTACTGGGGAGGCAATTTGTTCAAGCCCCTTGGGTTTTACAGAGGAATGGAAGTCCCATCACTGGAGTGAGGAAGCAGGTCACAAGGTCACATAGCTGTGAAGGCGGGACCCCGGTCAGGTTTTATTTCCCAAAGCTTTTCTCCCTAAACCATTCTGCTCTCCCACCCCCCACTTCTGCAAGAGAAGGGAGTTCATGTTTAACAGGCTTCAAAACAACGCAGGCTCAGGAGGGCAAGATGGGGAGGAAAGGATGGCACTTTTTTTTTCTTCTTTTCTTTTCTAACAATTTTAGGGCGCCTGGGTGGCTCAGTTGGTTAAGCGACTGCCTTCGGCTCAGGTCATGATCCCAGGGTCCTGGGATCGAGCCCGACATCAGGCTCCCTGCTCAATAGGGAGCCTGCTTCTCCCTCTGCCTGCCGCTCCCCCTGCTTATACACTGACACATAAATAAAATCTTTAACAAAAGATAAAAAATTTTAGGTAGTTAACGTACAGTGCAATCTCGGTTTCTGGAATAGAACTCAGTGATTCATCACTTCCATACAAGACACAGTGCTCATCATCCCAAGAGGATGGCACCTTTTCTGAGCAGGGCTCAGAAACACCAGCACTGGCACACAAGCCAAGGGCTGGGGGGCGCTGCGCCACATGTTCAGGCGACCCTGAAGTCCGACAGGGCATCCTCGCGCAGGCCAATTTCGCAAGCCTGTCCCTGACGTGGGCCTAGCTTATCTCTGCCCTGTCGACGTGGAGTTGGGCGCCCGGCCAAGGTAAAGGTGTCTGGGCCAGGTGGGGGTCTGCTTGCATCCACTCCGTGTGCTGCCTACACAAGATGTGCCCAGAAAAACAGGTTCCTGCCACCCTGGTTCTCACCGGCTTCACCTGTCCACATTTCAGCCCTGTCATGTGACCCTTGGCTTCCGTGCCCCGGATAAGATGAAATAAACTACATGCAAAGGGGCAATTAGACCTGGATCTTCTGTTGCCCGTGTCTGAGCAATAATTCCAATCTAATTGACTGAGTTAGAAAAGTATGAGCCCAAAGAGCAAAAGACAAAGGAGGAGAAAACCGAACTCACTGAGGACCCACGGGGTGGAAACCGGGTGGTCTGAGGCCCATTTTCCCACGTACCTGCATGAGCACCTTGAGTCTGTCCAGGGGCGCCGTGCAAGTTCTGGATACTGCCCCGGCCCCGCCTCCAGCCACCAGGTGTCTCCACCACATCCCCGTCTGTCTCTCTTCCATGGTGAATTCATCAGGGACCGTCAGATTCTCACCCACATCAAAGATCTGCAAGGAAGACCAGCAGAGATAAAACAAGCAGGCTCCTGATGCTTGTGGCCAAGCTGTTGGCAGACAGCCAGGTCCGTAACCTGGCACCATCCAGAATGGCCGGGCCCCAGGGGCCACACAGATGGTGACAATGCCCCGGGCCCATCGTGGGGGGATGAGTGTGCCCCTTCCCGTTCACCGCATGGAGGTGGCACAGCTCCTATCCCTGTGTGAGCCCTGCAGAGGCCCAGGGAGAGAATCTGAGAGCGAGGCTGGAAGAAAGCAGTTATAGAACCATTTGGACAGCCTTGCAGATAACTTGCCCACGGCTCTTGCAAGAATGGCTTACAAAGGCATTTTAGCTGAGGATCACCAGACTGCCTGTACTGAAAGGGTCAAGTCAGGGGTAAAAATTCTGAAACCCGATGTGGAACCAGATCACGCCGGCAGAACATTGCACAAGGCCTCTGCAAATATCACAGACTGCAATGCCTACGTAACAGCCGCTCTCCTGGGCGGCATCCCGCCTGGTCAGAGCCAGCTCTGCTCCGATCAGCCAACTGGAGAGCCAGGTGTGCCCTGAGGGTGAGACCCTGCCCTGGGCACTGCGGGAGACAGACCAGAGGCATGCCCCCGGCCTCCCCTCCCAGAGCGGACAGTCTAGGGTAGCTAAGACGGCAGATGGGGCGGGCGTACCCTGAATGAAGGGGCTCGCAGGTGGGGGGTCAACATGGCCACAACCAGGGCAGTGTGATGGGTCTTTCTGAACAGCAGTGCTGACAGGGGTGAAAGAGTAGCATGTACAGGACATTTTCTTTGACAGAGAGAAAGGACACAAAAAATGGGGTGCTGGGGGAAGAAACTTAATGGCTCTATCTGTTCTAGTATTGTCCCCACTGCCCCAGGCGCACGTGGGCTTTGGGAGAACGAGCAGGATTGGGGAAGCGGTGTCTGGAGCGGACCCTGAAGGACAGGCAGCATGTGGGGCAGGGAGGGCACCGGGGGCAGAGGGACCCCCGTGTCCGGGTGGTCAGGGCTGGCATGGCGGAATGGAGGGCACACGTGGAGGGCTCTGTGGGGCTGGAGGAGGAGTGGAGCCTTGTGCTGAAGAAGAGGAAAGCCGAAAACCCCACTCTCACCCCCACACCGGGACGGGGGTTGATGCCTCGAGAGTGGACGCGTGAATGGAGCAGGGAGAAAGTGCCCTCACGCCCCGGGGCATGGGACTCACCGTGGAATGCTTCCAGTACAGGATGATCTCGGGGATGTTCTCCACGGGGTGCAGAAGGTGGTAGTCTCTCCACTCGTTCCAGTCGATGGTCATTGTGCCATTTTTATCCATGCTGCAAGACAAGCACATGGTCGGTTGCCCCCGGGGTGAACGGGCCCGTACGCGAGCTGCACTTCCACCCCTCCAGGCGAGCCCGGGGCAGGCCCTGCGCAGGCCCTGCGCCACTGAGGAAACCACGGGAGGTGCCTCGGCCCCAGTGAAGAGGCGAGGTGGCTCCACACCCCACTCTGCACGAAAACGGGAATACAGTGGCCCACAAGAACCCTGTTCTGATCAGGCACAGAGGTCGAGAAGGGAGGGGGTCACCGGGGTGACACGGATACTTACTAGGTTACAGGGCCCCAGAAGTGGCCCGTTCGTATTCTGACAGACAGACAAAGGAGGATGCAGAGGAGAGAGGAGAAACACAGATAAGTGCTCTGAGCAGATGTTAGCGAAGCAGGCACACAGCACGGCACAACGCCCAGGGAGTCGGACGAGAGGCAACTGTCCCTGACCAGCCGCTTCCGGCCCCGGGGATCTGGAAAGGCGCAGGCAGCAAGGGCAGCGCTCCTGAGGCGAATCTGCGTGATTTCCCGCCGTAGCCACTGTAGGCTCTCCCCCAGGACCAGGGCTCCCCTGGGAGCTGTCTCGGGGCAGCACGTCTGATTACAGGGGGGAGAAAAGGCAGCATTCTCGGGGAGAAGTCCACCGTACGCAGACTGCTGCCACCCGAGCCCCTTCCCTGTCCCCACCAGGCAGAGAGAGTGCTCCTTGCTCGCCTTTCACCCACTTGAAATCCCCCCAACTGGTCTTTTCTCTTCACGGGTCACCGGTGAGCGGGCACACTTCCAGGTGATTCGTGACTCTGGCCTGGAACTCAGGGAGCGGCTGCTCCTGGGAAGGGGGCTACCTACTCATGGCGTCAAACCAACAGAAGCCAAAGTTCAGAGCAACGGGGTTAATACAGTGAAGGGCGCCACGGGGTTGGTCCAAGAACGTTTCTTTCATCACGTGTTTGTTAAACCAGATACAGAGGCTGACAAAAGCTCTCACCTCTTGAGAATCTTTTCGGCCTGCTGTTCGGATATCTTGACTCCCAGGTCCCGCAGGGACTGCATGATCTCCTGAGCGTCGATCCGTCCTGCAACAACAAAGGCTTCAGCCAGGGCCCAGGCCCGCAAGAGGCCTGAGGCCCGGGCAGCCACTGGCTCTGGAGGCAATGCTCACCGTCATTCTTCTTGTCCAAACTCTTGAACACCAGCCTCAGCTTCTTCTCGTGATCTTGGAGATAATGGACAAACTCTTCAAAGTCGAGCTGCCCATCGAGGTCTTTATCTCCAGCTTGCACAATTTTCTATTAAAAAAAAGTTAAAGTTTCCTCCTTGATCTCGTGCCCCAGCTTTTCCTCGTTCCTTGTGGCGGCCCATCCCCAGGAAACAGCTGTGCTAACCCATGCACAGAGGTGGCCTCAAGGACCTGAGATGCTTCCTCGGTTCTGTTCCCAATGCCACCACTTGGATCCCCAAGGCCTAGCCAGAACCCAAGCAAAAGCCCACCTTGCTTCCCCTCACAAGCAAAGAGGAAAAAGGCACCCCTGGGAGGCGCCCTTCAGACACAGGCCAGCAGGCGGCCAGCTTGACACTTTCTCATTCCAAGTGTCCTGAAGACTAACTTATTGTACAACCAAGGTCAGCCGTGTGGTTCCCCTGCAGCAGGGTCCCTGGCGCCTGGCCTCCACCCACACGCTCTCTGCCCAAATGTGGGGATGGCCTCGGGCGCTCCAGATGCCACCAGGAATGCTGCAGCTTGCTCTTTTTATCCCTAACAGTGGCACTGGCCCAAGAACAGATGGGTGACCAGGGTAAAGGTATGGAGGCAGAGCTGGCCCCTGCCAATGCCTGCATGGCAGAAACATGGCCAGAGGACCCTGGTAGGAGCCAAGGGGGACTATTCTTGGACGCGGGCATGGGCTTGATGGCACTGCCAGCCTCTGATCCCAGGGGAGCCAGATGACATAACCAGGTACCGAAAAGCAGGCCAGCTCTTAGTAGTTTCCTGACCCAAGAAAGCTTGAAGAGACCCCTTGAACAGAACTCTGTGCCTGCCCCTAGAGGTGAACTTTGTTCAGCAGCTGCAGTTTTGCATGCTCAGCCCCTGGAAATTCTCCCCAAATGAGCGAGCCCTTGGCCTGTGCCACAGGGCCCGCTAAATGCTTTACCCCTAGTACCCTGCTGAACCCTCTCAAGCAGCTCTGGGAGGCAGGTACTGTCATTCCCCCCATTTTTTAACAGAGAAGGAAACAAGCTCAGAGAGGTTAATTTATCCAAGATTACACAGCCAGGGAAGTGGTGGGCGAGATTCAGGCTGGGCCTGTTAAGACTCCAGAGCCACCTCCCTGGAGATCCCGCTGCCGCCCTAAAAGTTAATCTCAAGAAGGTGGGTGACACACATGAGTCACTGCAACCTAGCAACACCCCAAAATCTGGACCAAGAACCTCCTAAGGAAAATGGTCATAGTCTTCCTGTGTTGCCCAATTCTCTCGGTGAGAAACAGGCTCACTAGTCACAAACCAATCTGGCTTTAAAAGTCTCTGAGCCAGTGGGTTTGGGAATGGATGGACCACTGGCTATCTGGTGCTCTCCAATGATTAAGATCATGGTTACTCTCTGAACCACCTGATGGCCCTTTGTGACTGCTCAGCCACTAAGGATACTAGGAGGAGGCCTGGGCAGATACCATGTCACCTAACATGATCCACAGAACAACGCCGGGGGTGTGGCAGGAATGTGAGACAGAGGCTGGCACATATTGCATCTGCTATCTGGAGTTAACTTCCTGCAGACATCTGTGCTCTCGGCCAAGAATGGTACAAATTACATACACGGTTATCATTCTAGATTTATGGCAGGAGTGGAAATAGAATCTAGGAGGCGAATGTCAGGCACAGAGCTTTTCCGTTTCTGGGCCGCTCTGCCACCAACACGATCCATGCGCCTCAGTGGGGGCGGGTGTCTGGTAATACAGAGAACCCAAGGATGTGTTCACTGCAGGCGATTTCAAGACATTCTCAAAGTCCTTGCTTCTACCTCAGAACCACCGGGCCTACTTTCTGTCTCCTTTCTAGGATATGCTAATCCCCATCCCCAGCACACCATCTGACCTCCACTGCCATCATGAGCAGTGGGAGACAGCAAGAGGTCTGGTTAACAGAGAAGTCAGGGTGCTCCTTTAGGAGGCAAGGGGCCCCCCACAGGCTCTGGAGCCATTTCCCCATCTTTAAAATGTCACAATTTCTGCTGCTCCCAAGGGAAGTCTTGGGAGGGCTTCCCCCTCCCCAGGACACAGCCCTGCCAGCTCCAGCCTCTGCAGCTCCAGTTCCAACTCTGGGCCTCCAACAGGAGCTTCTCTGCCTCTCCCTCCCCCAGCTCTGAGAAACGGCCCCACAGTGGCTGGGCTGTGTCCCCCTTTGCGGCCCTGTGTTTCTCTGGAACTCCCCCCTCCCCATCCCCAGTAAAGAATTCCTTTCCATTTCCCACAGGTATCTCCCCAGTAATTCCGGCCTTCCTTGGAAGTCATATGAAAGCCAGTCATTCCCGTGACATGACATAACCCCTTCCCGGCTACAGTCACATGAAAACTGGGGAAAGAACTTGCACATTTCAGACATTCTTTCCCTTCCATGGGGTTTGGGCGGGGGCGGGGGGGGGAGTTCGCGCACGCGCACCCTCTACCACCACTCATGCATTCACTCAGCCGACCCCGAGCAGGCGCCCGCCGCCGCTCCAGACCTGCTTCCACTGGCGGTAGGTGGAGAACTCCTGGGAGGGGATGAACACGCTGAGTTTGAAGATGGACTTCAGCTCGGCGGGAAGGCCCTTGGACTCGAAGTACTGGAACTCGGTCTGGGTCTCCCCGATGAGCGGCACATACAGGCACAGGCAGAGCATGCTGACGGGGAGCTGGGCGCGCGCGCCGCCGGGGAGCCAGGGAATGCTGCCGGGACCGCACGCTCGCTCCAGATAAGCCGGGGCGCAGCTGTCATTGGCTGCTCAGGCCCTGCCCTTTTACTTGAGAAAAGCCGGCCCAGGGGAAGTCCTGCCCACAGCCAATGAGCACCGGCCCCCGCGAGGAGGCGGCGATTGCTCAAGTGGAGGGGTGTAAAGATCAGGACTGACGTCACGGGCGCCCCGAGTTAACTCCTCGGAAGCTGGCCGAGGGAAGAGTGCTGCCCCAACGAACCTTCTTCACCCTCCGCTGCCAAGCCCTCCAGATGAACAAACAGCCCTCAGCATGTTTTTCCACAAGGTCCCCAAACGCATCACCCAATACAATGGTTTTCTCCCCTTAGTAAATCATTCCCCACAGAAAAATCAGTGGATGTACAGACTGAGTCGATGCTCGCTGGAAAGGGGCCCAGTTTAGCTGTGAGGGTAGAAGTCGGCAGGCGCTGCCTGGGAGCCGGGTGCCCCAGCGATCCTGGAAGTGGCCCCACGGCGGCGGGCTCCGGCTCATTCATCCGCAGGGGAGCTGCCCCGGAGCTGACTGAGCCCTGGACTCGGCCTTCCAGCTGGCGCCAGTGACCTTTTCCAGGCCACTCTGCAATGTGAGCACCTCAGAAGCAACCCATTCCCCTGTAGGCTTCCCCTGGGGGTCCTGCAAGCACCCAGGAGCTGACACGATGGAGGCAGAAAGGACCCTCACTAAAGGTGGTTGTGGAGAGGGACTCCCCAGAAGCATTACTCTGGGGTCAGCTGGGCCCTCACGTAAGACTCCAGATAGCCTTCAGAGCCCACTCTCAGAACACTTCAAAGTTTGGTAATAGTGCAAGCTTTCTGGCCTAGGTCTGTGCTATTCAGGAGGGAAGTTTTAAATTTTAAATTAATTAAATGAAATTAAAAATTCAGTTCCTGAGTTGTGTAACCACATTTCAGGTACTCCACAGCCACATGGGGACTCACTGAACATTTCCATCACCCAGAAAGTTCTATCGGGCAACACGGCTTCAGAACACCCCTTTGACGTGAGGATAAGAGAAAAATCTCAGGTCCTGGAAAGTCAGGTTTGGGTCATCACTTAAGGGTGATCCTCTCCAGCCCAGCCTACCATCTCCACATCATCCCTTCCCCACGGAAAATGTCAGGAGATTCGTGCTGCGGAGGCAGACCACGTCACAAAGATGTTCCTTCTATAGTGCACCACTTCCTAATATAGACTAAATCTCACTACCAGGATGGATAAAAATGGATGGTTATAATTTGGAAATCACCAAAAGTAAAATGAATTTCTTAATTTGCTAAAAAGCTTTTTGTTAAGAACTAGAAAAAAGGATTTTAAAATAAGATGTTGGGTGGGATGCCTGGGTGGCTCAGTCAGTTAAGCATCTGCCTTCAGCTCAGATCATGATCCCAGAGACCTGGGATAGAGCCCTGCATTGGGCTCCCTGGTTCTGTTTCTCCCTTTCTCTACCCCTCTGTCTCTCCCTCTGCTCATGCTCGCTCTCTCAAATAAATAAAATCTTAAAAAAAAAAAAAAAAAATTAAAAAAAAAAAGGAAAGGCAACCCCAAAAG